TTAAGATACTTGAAATCGTAAACCAAGGAGTAAAATGATTTTGAAGTCAGTTGACAGTCGTTCTGTTGATTTATTTTCAAATTTTGAAAGATGCAAAAACCTGAAAGGTTCGAATATAATGATATAATCCGAAATATTATTAATCGGGAACATTTTCATTTAAATTACATTACACTGCTAATTGTATAGAAATTCATTCGATATTTCTTTCACATATAGTATTGATTATAGGTACCTGCAACAAGTTACTGCTTACATTATCTACCTATTAATAGAAAGATGATTGATTTGGTATTTTCTCTTGGTTGATGAGATTACATTTCATTTCAATACTTTTATACTGAAATTTTAGAAATTACATCTGTTTAAGAACCGTTGGTGAAGAGTTTCATTTCACAATCACACCTATTCGTTTTTCAAGATTCAGTTCTAGTTGGTAATATTCTAGAGAAGCAACTGTCAAGTCAGTACATTTTTTTAATTTTTGAGGTTTCGCAAATTGTGAATTGTTTTCAACCAGCACAAAATCTTAACTTCTCATCGTTATAATTATAAACACAAAAATATACAGGCCTTTTCTTTTGTCATGTGGTAATATTGCTATATTCTAAACCGTAACAGATACGAAGACGATTGAATGGGAAAAAACGTAACTGTCATCAGAAACAATACATTTGTCGAAGAAAATTTACGGGGACTGTTGCCCTTCTCGAATTATACGGGGAAAACCAAAAATCCTGTTTTTCGTTTTTTTCGAATGGTATTGTTATTTCGCAGAATATCAAAAAATGGAAAAGAAAACTTTTATTGTATTCCAAGTGTACTATGACGATGTAATAATAAATATTCGATAAAACGTTTCGTGTCAACATGGCCACCATCAACTTTTTTTTTAAATACGGACCTGTCTTTTTTATTACAGATATTGATAAAGCGATAAATTGAAAATCCAAGGGTATATCACATTTGATATTTTTATAACGTTTCATTTGAAATACCTACCATCATCAGTGACAACAATCAAACAGAAAAACAATTTATTTTATCATGAACTTTTGGGAAAAATGAAACCAATACAGAAAATCAAAGCAACATGGCAATCTATATTACATTCTCGATTTGATGACCTCTTTTGTGTTGAATGCACATAAGTTGTCGGTCCATACAATTTCTGTGGCAATTTTCTAGCATAATAGGTGTAATACTAATACTTCCAACTATTAATTTTTGTTTGAGATGATCGATATCTGTACTTGATGTTGAAAAAACTTTATCCTTTATGTATCCCCAGACAAAAAAATGTAAAGGAGTAAGATCTGGAGATCGAGCTGGCCAGTTAATTGGTTCATTGTTTCCAATCCATTTTCTAGGAAATAGTGCTTTTGAATGTTGCCTTACTATTACTGCATTATGGAGAGGAGCGCCGTCCTGTTGAAATATTGTATTTCATGGCGGATATTCAGTGGCAATTCTTATAAGTAGCCATCGAATTCATTGAATTGAAAATGAAGATACATTTCACTATTCAAATGATCATCGTAGAAAAAAGGTCTGAGGATGTTTTTTCCTACAATTCCCAATCAAACATATATTACAATCCTTTTTTGGTAATTGGTTTCCCTATGTAAATGTTCATGTGTATTATTTCACTTATAATGGATATATCTGTTGAACCAACCTTTGTACTCTCCTCCTTCCGTAATTTCTATCATTGGGGTGATGAACTTTGCGTATCCTGTTGTATTAATATTTGTTATTTTTCAAAATAGTTCTGGTGGATTTCGCAGAAATCCTCAATTCATGGGCAATTTTTCGTAAAGAACAATCTTGATTAGTATGATTTTTGTAACTGGCCAATCCTAATTTCAAAAAAATATGTGTACATTTTTATGTGGTGATATTTGCTCACCCATAACTTTTGTTTGATTCCTCACACTTCCAGTTACCACACATTTTCTTGTTTTCTTCCTGTCAAATGCACCATAGTCCCTCAAATTTCTTTCTAATCGTCTAAACATTTGGATGTTCGTAATACAACGGAATCCGACATACATATTCCTTGTGAAAAGAGGATTTATATTTGACTTTTGCATAACTAAATAGCATATCAGTCCTTTCATCATTTGAATACATATTTGATATGTTCATAACTTCTGACAGTTCTCAACAGATATCAACAACGCATTCATTTTTTCTGCCNTTGCTACAGTAGTGAGATTTTCAGCGTGAGGCATATAACAAATTGGTACCCAGTACAAATGCCAATATGGTGGATTAGAATTTTTACAAATTCAATTGCATTTTTCATAAATCAGTGTAGACAGATATATAGTGTTTATGAAAAACGAAGTGAAAATTTTTTCAACGAGTTTGTAGGGAAAAATGTGCCCAAGTTTTACGCAAAATACAAAGTTACAGATATTGAAAAAATGCATTAATTAATTATGAAGTCATCCCTATTGAAAAATATGTTCACCCCAAAAAAGAGTCTTGAAAAATACATTTATTTTTCCCATAATTCAAAAGTGTTTTAGTTTTTGGGATAGTGTGAATGTCCAGAATGAATATGTTTAGTAATACGTTAACCTGGTTCAAATAAACTAGCCCTGGATTTTGCCCAGGTTTCATCCTGTTCATTTAACTATTTCCAAACATTCAAAAGCATTCAAAATAGTAGTGTCATATAATGCTTTATGGTCTTCTTATTCCGTGGCACCACATTCTACACATAAACCCTGTATTTTTTTGATCTGAACAATATAGAATTCAATTATCTTTCATTCCATTTGGGAGTTTTCTATACCTAACGTGAATAATATTTCAGATATTGGCTTTTTCAAATAGTAGTTCGTATTTCAATTAAGAAAACATTACAAAACTGAACTAGTGAAATTCATTGAGAATCATTAATCATTGCAGTTTTTGCATCATTCAGGTATGATTAATAACTCAAAAAATGATTTGAAAAATCCCTCAAAAATGTTAACCATTTATTTCATATACAGGTGTTAGACTGGTAACACCGCTAAAGTAAATTTCAGTTGGAAAATAATTTATAACTTTTGTACAGTCCGCATATATTCTTGCAATGAACTATTCAATTTGAGAAAGTTGAAAAGAGGGCTAAAGTATTTTTTTAATGAAAAGGATGTTCGGTATAAAATTTAAGTAGGGAAACATAGGGCTTGTAGCAGGGGTAAGAAGTAACAAAATATTTTCTTCGAGAACTTAAACGTTATCAACCTATTTCCATGAATGAATATTACGTTTATATCCCGCTACATCATACGCGTTTTTTGGCGTTTAATCTTATTCGAGCGTGTATTTAAAAACGTCAATAATAATAAGATTCGCCAGAATGGAATGATTCAATTTATGTCAGATGTCAAATTCCATAATAGAAACAAACTTTTCAATCTTCTCTAATTTTGATTAGCTTTATTTTGTACATCCTTACAGCTTATTTGATGGAAAGTTATTAGTACTTTATAAACTATAACGATCAAAATTGTGATCAAAATAAAGCATAAACTGACAACTGACGTAATGTAATGTCAAATTCCGTTTCAAAACCAACCTCACGCTAGTTTTGAATCATGATGAATACGTTTCAAGTCATGTCGTTTCAACGCAAAAGTGAATGTATTTGAATCACAGACGAATACGTTTTGAATACATGAGCGCCAGAAAACACCTCATGTCGTCACAATCATTATCCCACCAGACGGCGCAGTCAGTGGATATGTGCGCGTTTCATTACTTTGGAACTCATGTGTTTTCATTCACATTCAAATATATCTATATCTGATGTTGGGTGACAGCTTTTAAATTCACTTGGATAATTGAAAAGTTATATTACCCAATGAATTTCAAAAATCACACTACGGGGTTAGTTGCAACAAAATATTGGGGCTTGTTGTAACATATTACAACTCACTCCCATATAGGTCAACTCCGAGTTGTTCAGATGTACAAGAAATTTTTCGCCATCAAAAATTAAACCTTTACCAAAAACGTCTTTACCAAAATAAAAACAGTTAACAGACGCAAGAGGAAATCTACTGTTTTGATTGATACCCCTAAAAAAGTAAGCTTTACGAATGGACTACGAAAAAGAGATGAAGAAAATACAGAAAAAATGATAAAGTTAAGATCTTTGTTTCTGATTGATTCGGCCGTTACTTAATGAAGACCCATAGTAATTTCATAAACCACACCTCACGATTTTTGAGGAAACAAGATAATAAAATTGCATATAGAAAAAGTAATACGTTGGGAAAGTTAGTTGAAAATAATAAAGATAAAATATCCAAATTTGAGAAATCAGGAGTATATAAATTGAAGTGTGGAACGTGTTCTAAAGTATATATTGGTCAAACTGGCAGAACATTTAGGAATCGCGTCCAGGAACATCATATGAGCTATGTAAATAAGAAAACAAGTTCAACATAATCAAATCATCTTTCAGAAGAAAAGCATATCTTTAACGAAGAGTTCGAAATTTTACACATAGAAAATAAAAGTTTGAAACTGAATTATGTGGAAGCAATAATAAATTTAAAAATTTGAATAGATTTGAATAGATCACCATTATTGAACATATTTTCTTAGAAAAACCGAGAAAGAATTATTATTGATGTAGAAGTGAAGTAATATGCTTCAGGTTATCATAATTGAAGAGGTAGAGGTTTAGGTAATTTATTGGAGGTAGTCTCAATTATGGTTACCTGTAGTATATAAATATTAGTATAAGAAGCAACTTGTAGTATTCAAATCACCTTTAATAAAGCTACGGTGTTAGCGAAACATATCGTGACATATTTTTCAAATAATGTTTGTGAGGTGTAGTTTATGAAATAAAGTTAAGAGTAAAGCAAGAGTGAAGCTCTATTATATTGAGAGGAAAAATTTTTCCGCTTGATATAATAGAGGAAGAGTTTGAGTACGAATCTAGATTCAATTATTGGTTACTCAACCTATAGATAACCCCCCTAATTAGATCAGGGGATCAGAATCTATGAATACAATTTTTGCGGAAGTTGATTGTACTTCACTTGTAAATATAAAGAGATATCAGGATACTTACCTATAACTAATCCAGACATAAAAATCGACACGAGAATAACTGATGGATAAAAAGTAATTATTTTTATCAAAGTCGTTTTAATAACTTCTTCAGTAGCTTCAAGTCGTCCTTCAGGACATTGTTGGACTATACTGTTTTCTGTTTGTGTATCACTATCATCGTCATAAATCCATTCATTTTTTCCAGGTATACTATTATCTAAACTAACCATTCTTTGGAACTTCTCTATTTTTTCATTTGTTGTATCAATCACTCGACATGAGTCTCGGTAAGTAATTCCGTTTTCGAATGTATAGTTTTTGAGTTTCTCAATGGCCGCTTCCTCACAATAAAAAGAATTGCCTTCAGCTATGAATGTCTTCAGTTTGGGCAATGAACTGATTACGTCAGAATCCAGGTGTACCAAGAAATTGTTGGAGATATCTAGGAATTCCAAATTTGGAATATATGCGAGTACTCCACTTTGCAAATTCTCTATTTTACTTGAACTAATGTCAAGAATCTGGAAATATACAACTGTTTAAAAAATCCAATTTGAATATATTCACTCACCTTCAAATGTTTCATATTTATTTTAGGCTCAGAATTGATGGATTGCAAGTTGTTGCCGCGCAAATATAATTCCTCCAGAGACTTCAAGCTTATGAACCATTGCTCATTGAAATATTGAACTATATTGAACGATAAATCTAAAGATTTTAATTTATCCAAACCTTCGAAACCATATAGATGGATTTGGTTGATTTTGTTGCTGGATAAATTCAGAAGTTTCAACTCCGACAGCTTCAATTCCTGAAAAAAAAGGTTTTTGAAAAAAATATCGCAGCTAGGTCTCCATCTTATTCCAATCTTGTTTAGATACACGGTGCATTATAACTGTATTCATATTAACCGTTCGAAAATGCATACATTTCGAAAAATGTAAGACAGATATATTTCAAATCGCTTGGTAACCTGATCAATATACATATATGGATACAGTTGAAATTCTTTATCTAGCCGAAACTACTTTCAATATATCTTCAAATACTCAAAAATCCAAATTGAAATGATCCAAATGATCCAAATTTCAATGATATATTTTTAGGAGAAATTCATTTTTGTGAAAGAAAGTTTTTGGTCTTCTACTTCTCCATCTTGATAAAAAAAAATTTGGGAATCTTCTAAAGAAAGGAAGAAAGTAATCAATTTCAAAAATCACTATACAAAGATATGTAGATCATGCAATTTTAACAAGATTCCTATGGCTGGGATTCAATCAAATAAGCGAATGAATGTTATTTACGTACTGTCATCGAGGACATGGGTGGATTCAAGTCATTCTGTGAAAAAAGGTCGTAATTTTATGAACGAATTGAGTGTTTTTCCTTATAATGTTATCCGTATTTGCTACTGAAGAGCTGATAAGGCAAGTGTCTTACATCGAAACATCGGATGTTTTCATTAATTATATTGTATAGGATTCCTGTGAATGATATCTTTGGTTCCATTACGAATGTGCTTTTCGTATAATTCAGCGTTCATATAAAAGTAATTGTTTCAAAAGTATTTTTCTTTCATGCAATTCAAAGTTTATATGAAAATAACTGTTTCGAGTGGGCTTTTTCTTCCAGTTTGTGTCTTAAAGTTACTTCTTTACATAATCGGAAAGGACGGATTGCTTCCGTCCTTTCTTTGGAAGCCAAAACGTTTCTTTCCAAAAAAATTAAATTTCCACAACTTCAGCCAATAGCAAATGACAAAGTTGCAACCAGGGACTAGTAACTAGGGGCAAGATTTATAGTAGATGCGAAGAAATTAAATAGCAAGCTCATTTTCAGATTTACAATGATATATATATATGTGTACAAAGACACCTGTATATAAAGACTTTCCGAATTCTGAAATCATTGGAATTTTCGAATATTCAATTATTAATTTCTGTTTAACAAATGTTTATCTTTCTGTTTGAAAGAAAACAATTGTGAAAGGGTTGCTATAAAAGCCATACCTATAGAATTCAGAACATCAATTGATCATTGATATCTAATATCAATAGTACTAGAGAAAAAACTAATGAAAACAATTAGAAGAACACATTGAGAGCATTTTTGGAAATTATTTCAGATTTAGTCTTGATTTCATGGAGCGTTTACCTTTACAATTGCTTTATTGATTGACGGTGACGAGATCATGACAGCCAGTGATTTAAATAAAAACACCAAAAAAACATTTTTAATTCCAGTTGATCCTTTGATGACCTCAATTTCAATTGGCATCAGATGTTAGTAATTCATATTAGTTTCTCTAGCATTGAATTTGCAATTAATAAATCATATATTGATGATCCTCAACAAGATGTCTATTTGAAAGTGTTAGATGTCGTGATTCAATTGTGAGCCCTCTTTTTTATCTTTACATTACATTTCATCGAAAGTTTCCAATTTTGTAGTATATATTTTAGGCATACGACACGCAGGGACTTGGAAATCATGTTTTCGTCCAACATTGGTAATGATGCAAATAAAAATAGGAAATGTGGTTGATGATCAGCTGTGATGAATGAAGCGGCATTTTTTGCAACCATAAAAGTTTCCGATGAATCACTGGTGCTACTGGTTGCTTACTGTGGTTGTCCTAGGATTTGAAAGATATATCCATCAATTTGTCAAACCTCCATATCATTTGGTGAATATATTGCAGAACAATTGTACCTGCTCTGGAGTCTTGTTCCATAAAATTGTTTTCAGTGAAACTACATCTTGTTCGTACAGAAAAATCGGAATTGATGCATATAACCTCAATTTGGGACATAACAGAGTTTCAGTTATCAGCTCTGTCCTATCTATAATTTTCCGGAGTGAATAAAACGAGATACACTGCCAAGATTCGAAACCACCACGAAAGAAAAAATAGCTCTTTTGTGAATCAATAATCATGCAAATAAGCAAGTGAGATAAGTGAATTTTCCTATGCATATAGGGTTGATTGAAAGAATAATTGACTGATTCATCGTCTGAATTGAACTTCGTGTTTTATTAGGTAAATTATTTGTTCATTCTTTTTTATGTCTCTAATTGAATTTTCAAAAAACATTATCGATGAGGAGTAAACCGGAATCTCTTCATCTTCTGAAGACGCCACATTGAATGAAGAAAGGCGCGTCGAGAAGAGCGTTGCAGTCCTAGTGTTTGGATATACATTTCTGAGAAACATGGATCAACATTTCTTGGTGAAAATCATTTTATAATGAAAAAAATTATTTCATAACTATCTATTCTTTGATTATATTTCTAAATACAAGATATTTTTCAACTCAATGGGTGATTATTGAAAACTACTAGTAGGTACAGATTCTAAAAGTTGACAGCGGTTGTTTGGAGAACATAAATCTCTTTAAGAATAATTGTTAGTGAACCAATTTGATATTTACAGTTATAGATGAGTGAGTATGCTGAATTATGGAAGAGTGTCTTCATTCAAAGCAAAATATATTTTTAGCAAAATTGGCCAACGTATATTGAATCACTTTCGCTGAATAATAAAACTCACGTTAAAATAATAACCTCTAATGGAAATATGGCTCCCAGTTTTTCACCTTTCATTAAGAAAATGTAGATATACTTGATGAATTGTAGTACTTTTTTTATGGTTTGTTTGAAAGTGGTTGACATTTCATGGTGAATTTTACAAGTTCGGATTTTCATCGTCTAATATGCGTTATGCGTTACGTTATCAACCGGTTTACCCTCCCATAAGAAGTTATCACTTCAAAAAAGATTTCAAACCAAGTAACGAAGTTTGGATTGTTAGTATTCACAATCGTTTTCGGATGATGACTGGACTATTCCTCCGAAAGATGACTATTTGTTGGTCATTCGAGCGCTTGTTTTTTTCATAGATTTTGAATCATATTAGATTTATGTTTATGTTAAATTCAAGTAATTGTTTCACGCTAGGGACGGTAGCCTGGTGGGTTGATGTAGGTGGTTTGCTCCACTCATCAAGTCGGCCACTGTGCGAACCGGTGGTTCGAACCGCAAGGCCGGACGATCGATTTTCACTTCCTATCGTCCAACCCGTGTTAGGAATCACACTTTAAAAGGTAGGACCTCGTTAGTCCTTAGCTCGCAAGTTTCGACTTTTGAGAGTTGTCGTTCCTAAGGGGAACGACTGTCCTTTTATTCTTCAAATTGAAGTTTTCTGACTTGGATAAGCTAATTCGCATTCTGAATAAATAAGGTATTGAGTTATGTAAATTAGATGATTTTCTAGACAAAAACATTCATTGTCATATTCTACTGACATGACAAATTTAAGAATGGGATAATATGATATAGATTTGTTATGAATGGAAAGAGACCATTGGTGCATTCAGTACTCACCAAAAATATGTTCATACCCAATTCACTGATATGATTGTGGGATAAATCCAAAATCTGAACTCGAGACGGCACATTGATTTCTATAGAATACAGTTTTTTATATTGACATGTTGCTCTCCTTAAATTCTCAAACAAATCACATACACAGTATTCTGGACAATTTATCCTTTCAGGTTTTTCTTCTGAATTATAAAGTAACAATAACAAAAAGAACATTTCTCCATACATTATGACTCACATTAATGAACTGAAATGAAACTGATTACATTTTTTACTGCTAGGAAGCGATAAGTAACGTTCAGGTTATCTACACTTCATGAGTAGTTTGTTTTGGGAAATGTGATAAGATAATTTATTGTGAGGTATGATATTCCCCCAATGAGTCAGATGTATAATTGGAAAATGTTGCAGTACCTCTTGAAGGTTCCTAAGTGGTACATTGGTGAATTTTTCAATTTTTTATGTTTAGGCGGATTTCCACCAAATAGACTCGCTTGTGACTAGTTTCGTTTTCGAAAACAGAAACGAAAACTGGTTTTATTAGTTTCGAATCTCAAGTTCCACCAAACAGACAAAAACTAGTATGAGTCGCGTGTTTTATGAAATGTTTTCTGTCGTTTCCAGTCGTTTCCAGCAGGGCCGTAGCGAAAAGAAATACCAGGGGGGGAGGGAATCCAAATTTTCCCAACCCCGCCAGCAAAATTTCCCAACTTTCGAAAAAATGAAAGCCGTGGGATTAGTTACTACTATAATATATTAATTTTCTTACTTAGCTATCCAAAGATTGGCTGAATGCTTATGCCCGTAAGGGTATGCACAAACAAAAATAAATTTTGGTAATTATAAAAATAATACTGGAAATAATTCTACTTTGGACCAAGGTCCTTGGTCTTCCACCATATCTAAGATGTATAGGAATATTCAATACAAATGAAAGGAAACAACACTTAAATAATATTGTGCTTATTGTTTTCCCCCCATGGCGACGACCCTGGTTTCCAGTAGTCGAACAGTTTTCATCATGCCTTCCTAATTTTTGGAGCGAGAGAAGCATAAGCCAAAAAAACATAAAACTGTATAAGATCATTGAAGAAGACGAATAGATTAGGGAAGGAATAAAATTATGGCAAATTTGATAAATGATGACTTAGGAATGAATGCAGAACTGTGTTCATTGAAATGTATTTCCGCTACAGGGTAACACTTCAAATGAAGTAATAATGTCACATGAAGTCACACACCAATACAAAACAGTGAACTTGCTTGTTGTTGTTGACCGTTTTTACATATCGAACTCTATTTACAAAATCACAAACAAATATTTCCACCTGCCGATGGGACGTTTCGTTGTTGACAAAAACAATCGCCCGCAACACAGAGTTTTCACAATGTTTCTCAATTTGACAACTCAAGTTTTGTTTTGTCGAAATCGACTCAGTTGCTGTTTTATCGTGGTTTTGTCCGTTTGGTGGAAATCTGTCTTTATGATATATGCAGTCATTTACAATGTTCCACCTATCCAGATTAGTGCATAATATCCAAATCTCAGTTTGAAATTGATATATGAATACATCTAATAACCATGTTCTTGCATTTCCGCCTTTCTTAAGTAGCGAATATCTTATTGAAAATTGCTGATATAATAAAAAAGATTATACCACGTTATTTAAATGTATAATTTCAACTAGCCCCATACAATTTTCAGAAATCAATGTCAATTTCCAATGCCAAATAGATTATCCTGAAAATGGTTTATCATTGAGATGCATGTGCACAGTGTTAGAATCCTTAGTAAGTTCCGAGAGCGGTGCCTATACGAAACTAGTGACTTACATTGGATCCCAATCGTTTGGTAAAGTAGTCACGAAAAGGACACCAGTTCTTGAAAAGTGTTGTTTAGGGAGTTTATATTTTGTTTTTAATGAAATGAATGAAAACACTTTTATCTAATTATTTTTACTATCGGTTTCGTGTTTCATCCCATTATCGAGTATAAAAACTTACTAATACATTTGAAATTTGAAAACGTGGTTATATAGGGAGTTTGTAGGTAAGCTGGATAGGGAGGTACAATTCCCTTTGATCCTTCATTCCAATCTCACATTAATTATTCGCCTTTAGGTCAATGATACACAGAGCTATCGCAACCCTACACCTGAAAAGAACTCCCAGGAAGAACTAAAAATAATTAAATGAATTGTGGTAAACAATCAGGTACCAGTTTCTTCAATAGAAAATATAATATCAGATAAAACTCATAAAACGCTTATAAGTGAATTATACCCAAATATCGGAGATACAGTATACATATAAATACAGGGTGTTAATTAAGTATATACCATAAATTTAACAGACGATTCTTCAGATAATTTTGAGACGAATTGTTCACATAAACATGGGTCCGCAAATCCTTCACTCCCAAGATACAGGGTGTTAAAATAAAAAGAAAAAAAAAGTTATTCGTAAATATCTAAAATATCCTTTACCTAATTTTGTTGTAATTTGGCAATGGTATTTATAACATTAAGGAGCTAATTTACCCCGAACGTGATTCAATTTATCAAGTCCAGTGGCGTCTCGAGCGGGATTTGAACGAATATTTTTGACTTAAAAATGTACGCCACTGATTTTTGTGCAATTTTTATTATTTCTTCGTATTGGATATTTATTGGATAATTATGTAACAATAACAACAAATATTAAATAACATTAACATCTGAACTAACGCATTGCACTGAATTAAGTGTTGGAAATGGCCTCCTTCGGCTTCAATACAACCGTCTAGCCGCGGCATCAATGAATTTCGCACTCTTCTGAAAATACCTGGTGTATTTTTTATTATGTCACATGAATTAATGATTTTATTCCGTATATCCTCTTCACTTTGAATAGCAGTTATGTATACCAACGCTTGAAGGTGTCCCCAGAGAAAATAATCTGAGGGATTCATTTCGGGCGAGCGAGGTGGCCATGGGTGTGAGTCTGCTCTCCAAATCCAGCGATTATGGTAATTATCATCAAAAAATTGCCGTGCCACTACAATAAAGTGTGGTGGAGCACCATCGTGCATGTACCACATACGGAATCTTTTCATGAATGAATTTTTTTCTAAAAGTCCAGGTAAAACGAATTCTAAAAACCTTCGGTACTCTTCATTTTCTCCATTAAGTCTAGGTGGAAGGAAGTGAGGACCAGTGAAATGGTCACCGACAATTCCAACCCAAATATTAAAAGAAAACTGTTCTTGAAAATTATTTTCTATTAAGGCGTGTGGATTTTTTTAGTCCCAAATGTGATTGTTGTGGAAGTTAATAAATAATTGAATTGTGAGAAAAACAAGATTTAGCTGTGAACAATATTCGACTTAGAAAACCTGGATTTCTTCTTATTTTACCGCATAACCAATTACCTAGAAAAAGCTAATCTTACAGGCAAATCTCTGGGCAATAGAGCTTGCACACGTTGCATGTGATAGAGATATAGCTGCTGGGCTCTTAAAATCTGCCACACTGTGACATGGGTGATATTCAATTCTTTAGCTATTTTCCAAGTACTGGTATGAAGATTTACTTCATTCTCATTTAAAACAGCTTCTTCAATTTGAACTGTTCCTACCGTTGCAGGCCTCCCAATGATAACCGTCGATCTTTTAAAGCTGCCTGTTTCAGAAAGTCGTGCATGGAGACGTACAAAAGTTCTTCTATATAGTAGCATTAATTACTCAGGTACCATTCAAAATCACTTTTCTAAATACAAAATAACAACAGCTTTGATGAGTAACAATAATTTAGACAAAATTATGTTCAATGCAAAACCCAAACTAGAGGTATATACAGAATAGTGTGGGGAATGCTCTGCAGTATATACAGGCCAAACCGTTAGACATTTCGACGTAAGGCTCCGTGAACATGTCTATTTGGACAAAATATCTACAATGTATGAACCTCTGCAAGAGTCAAAAAGCAAGATAAGTAAAGATAATCTCAAAATACTACACACATGTAATAAATGGAAGAAAATGAATTTGTTGGAAGCCATGGAAATTAATAAATCAATTAAAAACCTGAAATATATAACCCTAAATGACCAACTCGATTTATGTAGGCCTCCACTCTTGAATTTATAAGTTTAAAAACTTCGATAGTTTCTATAATTTTTATAGTTGGCACATCTGTTTATTTACCTCCAGCTTACCTAGAAAGTCCTTATAAAACCACGTTTTTTAGATTTTAAACGTGTTAGTTAGTTTTCAATATTGATAATGGGAGAAAACCCGAATCCGGTCGTGAAAATAAAATAACTAGTGGAAATTTGACAAAAGTGTTTCCATTCATTCCAATAAAGTGATCATGAATTTACATAAAAGAAAGAAGTCACTTATTACACATATTATTTTATTCATAGTTCATAGTAAGCAGGCCAAGTCAATCGAATACTTCTTTATAGAGGAAGGTTTCCCTTTAACAATAATAAAATTTATTCCTACAAATATATCTTGATTTTTGACAGTAATTGAAGTATACAATTTGAAGTAGAAATAAACGCAAAAAGACCCCCTGAGCAAGCTTGTTAAGGGCTAAACAAATAAATTAAGACAATATAATAATATAAAATGGTAAAATTTCAAGATATAAAAATGTATATATGTATAGCTAACAACAATTCGCCTACATATTCACAAGATAGAACACAACTATTAATTTAAAAAATAAAAAAAATAAAATATAATCTGATAGGAATACAGAGATGTATACTTTTTATGCTGCAATATAGAATAGAAAAGCTTTAATATGTATATAACTTTCGTTGATATTTCACACTATCAAAGTTTCTTGTAATATTTGGCCCTAGAAACCTTCATTTATTTGAGCAATACTAAAGAAAGTTCAAATTGAGTTTTGACATCAAAAATTGCTGACATTTATAAGGATGAACTTTTGATATATTTCTGATAATCTCCCTGAGTTTTTTCAAGATTAAATTTTCTTTAGTTATAGATGTGCATCGAGAGCTGATGGTATACTTGAATATGTATCTACTTTCTCCTTCTTTGGCCAAACATGTATTATAGTAGCGAAGTGAGCATAAAAGCGAATGATAGAATTTTATTCAATCCTAATATTTCATAACCAGAATCAAATAAAATTTTTAATGGAGGACTTTATACAGCTGTAGAAAAGACAAACCTTTTAGTTCGCCCAGATAAGTTACTGCGTTAATTAAAAGTATTTTTCACAAAAAAAAATGTTCTATCAATAAATAACTTATCGTATTCAATAATTTTACTCATTAATGAAAAAGAGCTAGCAAATAATAAAGATA